AAAAAAAAGAAGCTGAAAATGATGAGTAATTATTATTGATCGTTTGTCGATACGAAGATGGGCTGTACGAATTCCAAAGAAAATACAAATCCGCCTACAACAACAACAATAACAGATAATAGTCAACAATTGATTAATGATCATTTTCGCAAATGGTTGAAATCAAATCGACCAAAAGCTGATGAATATGTACTCAATGATATTCTATCAACAACACAACAACCCAATGATATAGACGATTATCGCCCAATAGTTCGCAAAGCTCTTGATATACTTTCAGAGCGTAATGATATAAAAACAACAAATAAACTAACTAAACTTGTACAAAAAGAAGTGTCTCTTGCATCACCAAAAAAAGTTGCACGTACAATTGATGTATTAAAACAAACAGCAGAAAAATTACGACAGGGACAGTTGCAACTTGATAATAGTCAAGAAAAAACAACAACAACGAATAGCAATGGCGAAGTAATAAAGAAAAAACAAATTTTTATTCCAGATAGATATATATATAGATATTTTTGTTTATAAATATTATTTAGATTACAAATAATACAAAAACAGGAGATAATAAACATGGTCAACTATCATCAACAGAACCGGGTATTGTTTTAAAGGAAGCTTTAGAAAAAGCACGTATTTCATTTTATAAGGTAAATATAAAGAAAAAAAAAGTTAATCAAGAAAAAGAAAAGTTTTTATTTATTTTATTATATTAAGGGTAAACAAGCTGCTATATTTGCTAATCCAAATGGTGGCTATGACGTACGAATTATTGATGAGAATGATGATACAATTAATCACGATGGAAATCTTCTTCGTTCAATTATTGTTACTGAAGTTAAAATGCGTCCGAAATCAACGATAACAACAACAACATCACCATTATTTACTGCACCACCACCACCTCCACCATCAACAAAAGTACTTGATGAACATAAAATTGGTGATGATTTTCGTCGTTCAATTGATGCTGCTCTTAAAGGACTCGAAGCGATCTATCATACATCACCCACTACATCATCATCTGAACATACTCGAGAGACTCATATTGATAAAAGATCAGCGTCGAATGTAACAAAACCAACATCACAAGATAATACTGTTAATTTAGCCGAAATTATTCATGAAGCAAAAGGCATTACAAATATTAATGATGGAAGACAACAAGCTATTAGTCAAACTGACATACAACCAAAACTTGTGGGTGCTGTTGATAGTATGAATGAAATTATGCTAGGAGCTATTGAATCAACGAGTGGAAGTCAAATTGGAGATCCAATACCACAATTATCTAATGATACAGTAGGAAAATTAGTTTTAATTCTACAAAATGAAGATACACAACGTGTAATTAATGAAACAAAAGAACATGTAGAAAGTCTTCCGGCAAAGCAAATTTCATTTGATTCTATTGGTTTAACATCAAATTTACAAAATAAAGAATCAATAACATCTTCATCTACTTCTAATAAAGAAAATCTCAATGAATTAACGCAAACAGGTATAATAAACTCGAATTCGCCAACATCAATAACAAAATTTGATTCATCATCTGATAAAATTGAAGAAGAATCACTGATGAATCAACATTCATCATCAAAAATACCGACATCGATTAGTCAAATAATCGAAGAACAGAATAAAGTTCTTTCAGAATCATCACCACCTGTTGTTTCACCTATTGACATGAATACAACAGGTAAATTACCAAGTCATAATGTAACTTATACAGAAATTATTCATTCGGAATCACTTGATGGTGAACAATCACGTCGTTTTATAACAGAATCATATGATGAACAACCATCGAAAAATGGTGATGATCAAGCAACATCATCACTTAAAGTTATTACAAAATCTGAATTTTCAAATCATCCATCATTAGGTGAAAAAATTATGGAACAAAGTGTTCAAGTTATTAGTGTTAAAGTACGAAATGAAACAACAATTCCATCACCAACATCAAATGAAAAACAATCTCTTCAAAATGACACAATGTTTTAAATTTGTTGCTTAATTCTTTTGTTTTCTATTTGTTTGTGCGTTACCCTTTTTATCATCGATAAGAATTATCTTGCTCTATTACTTACTGTGCAATTATTATTATTATTTTTTACTATTGTCTGTGGGTGTATGTCTATATGGATTTTTTTATACTTATTTTAAGAGAATGTCTCGAGAAAGTCTATATATATATTTAATTGTGAATTGAATTCAGTTAATTAGTTTTTATTTCAAAATAAAAATCAATAAGAAATCTTTGAATGACAAATAAATGAAACACTAAAAATCTAATCTTGATTATGCGAGGTTTCTCTTCTCTTCTCTTTCATCATTACTTTCTTTTTGTATCATGCTGTGGGGATAAAAGTAATCATACGGAAAGATATAAATGCATTAGTTATAGGATAAGAATAAATCAAGATTTTTGTTAAAGAGCTACAGCTAATTCATCTGAAAAAGAAAAAGAAATAGAAATATTTTATTATCAGTGATAAGAATAAAAGTATTGATTATAAACCTTTAGCTGGTATTGATTGAAAAAATCGTGTCGTACGAAATATTCTTATATTTTCTTCTGGTTTAGAAGTTGTTGGAACTTCTACAATTGATATTGGCGTATTTGGTTCTGATACTGAATCATTATTTTTACTATCGACTGATAGAGAAGCATGAAATTGAGAAGTATAACGCATATTTGCATAAAACTTTCGAGCAATTTCAGAAGCTCGACGGTTACTGATAGATCCTGAACGTACTATTGGTAACTAATCAAAAAACATTTCATGTTTAATCTTTTAATAAAATAAATTACTTGAGATTGATCGATTTCAAGACCAGCATGTATTCCATTTTCATTAGTATCTTCATTATTATTTTGTTTTTTAGCAGATAATTGTCGTTTGAGATTAGCTGTACGAATATTTTTTACAAGTGTATATAATTTTGGTGATTCATCTCTTACAGGATTATATATAGATGGCCATCTATAACGATAACTAGCTGAAGCATGTTTTTCATCAGACGAATTATTTTCTAAAGTAAATAGAAAATTAATTTTCGGATTTATGCAATCTTGATTTCTTATTAAAAACAGACAGTTTTTAACTAATTAAAGTTTTTTTCCCCTAATAACTAAATTCCTTATAAATAGAATGTATATAAATCAATCATTTTACCGTTCTTTTTATTGTTTCTACCGAATAAACGATCGCATATATTACGTAATTGTGAACGACATTTTATTCGTACATAACAGAACATACCAGTAATTATAATTACACTAAATAATAATAATATTCCAAGCCATAATGGATGAAATAATTCATCAAATGGATCATAATAGTGATCAATTGCTTTCATGAATTTTATCTTATTGATTTATGAATAATGAAAACGATATGGCCAAACTATGTGAACTTCTTTTATTCCTATTAACTATTCGATAATCGATTCCGTAACTGTCATTTTTTAAAACATAACGTAAAAATAATATTTTTCCAAAGGAAATTACTAAGATAGAAGTACGACGACTATCAATAGGACTTTTTTTCATTAAGTAAAAAAACAAAATATAGAATCTTTCTTTTTATTTTTTTTTTCTTGTTAGTCCTTATCTATTTATGCAAAATTAAACATTAGAAAATCAAAAAAGATAATTATCTTTTACTGTACCCTCGCAGAGTACAAAATATATGAACATCTATATATAATAGGAATTATTGTTGATTAATTTTTAACAAAATAATGCATTATTTATTTATCAAACCATTATTACAAGGTCTTCAAGAGCTTTTTTTGTTAGCTATTAATGAAACGATAAAAAGAAAGAAAGAAAGAAAGAATGCTTCTAGCTAGATTCGGTATTATATGATTACAGGAACACTTTTATTTGTTATAAATTTTTCTATTTTATTACTTTTGTTTCTATCGGCAAGTATTATTGATTTATTCATCGTATTTATTAAATATAGTATCGCCTATCGAGAGACTTTTGTCTTCCTCCGTTCCTATAGATGCATATGTAATAGTTCACTTGTTACAAACAAAAGTAAATAGTATGGAATTCATAGAATTGTTCGTGTGTGTTCATGTGAGAATAAGAACTTTATACACGGTTAGATAGATTATTTTTGGATTACAGGAAGTTTCATCTTGTCTTACTCATGTTTTCATAGTATCTGGATAAACGAATTATAATAATAATAGAATACATATGAAAAACTTTAGTATAATCCTTTAGTTGCAACGATAATTTCAATCAAATCACTCTTATTCGTATTGGAAACAAAGGAAAATCAAATTCATTAAATGTTCAGAAAACAAAAACATAATTTTATCTCCAAAAAAGCTAAAAATGAAGACTATACACTCTCGACATAGTTATTTGTTTTCATTACATATTTCAAATAAATGACAATATACTTAAAAATCGCCATTGCAAGACAATGTCAGAGATAATAAAAATGCTTATGAGAAAAGAAACAAGAATGAATGAGAGATGAATAAAAAACAAAAAAAAAAGAGAGACTGAGAGAAAGAGAGAGAGAAGAAAAAAGAAACACTAACTTGAAACATTCGAAACAACAACAACCACCATAAATAAACGTATACAAACACAGATAAAATTGAACAGAAAAAAAAATATCTTCAAATCCCTAATAGACTGATGCTGCTGGAGAAAGGTTAAAGATAGGCACATAATAAAGGGACTGTTCAAACAAAGAATCTATTCATATTCGCTAAGCGAATAATGAATATCAAGAAAAGGTCAAGAAAAAAGAAATGTTTATTGTTATTAGAAGTAAAAGTATGTATGCGGTAAATTCTCATAATAAATAAAATATTTTTTTTTGCTTGTTTGTCATTAGAAGAAGGAAAAGAAGAAGACGAAAAAAAATGTATGTACGAGCACAAACAACAACATTGTTCAAAGCACACGCACATAAAACAAATACGATAAATAGAAGTAGAAAGAAAACAGGAAAAAATGCATTAAGAAATGTGTTATGTCTATATGCAATAAAATTTTCTATTTTATTACTGATCAATTGATTGACCACCACCACGAATTGTTGGAATAGGTGTTGAAGTATTTGTTGATGGATTTACACCAGCTCGAATAGGTTTTACTAAAAAAAAAAGAATGATTAAATTAATTTAAATATAATAAGTAATAGAAAAATCTCATTATTACAAAATTATCAGTGCTTATAATCTTCATTTCCTTGTTCTTTTTCTATTATTCATATTTCCTGTAATCATCTTATTCTCTCCAGAACAGTCAATTTGACTTTGGAAAAAACAGGTTGCTTATTTTTTGACCTATATCTGTATAGGTGTGCATTGCATGTAAAATAGTCGCAGCTGGAGATAGAAAGTATTTTAATAGGCATCGTTATTCTGGTTCTATACTTAGATATAGATACTATCAGTAATAATTTTTTTTAATATGGAATAATCATGTCTAAGACATAAATGACTATTTGTTGTAGATTTCTCATACAATACGATTATCAGTTAGTCAGTATAGATGATAATTCTGTATCAGTTCAACGTCCTATCTACAAATATATTGGAAAGAAGTGTTGTGTATCTGACAATATGATAATCTGATGTATTATAAACATAGACAGAAATCTGCATTTGTCGAACAAATGAAAGAACTGATAAGTATCAGCTGCATCATTTAATTAAATGATAATATCTAACTGATTGTTTTTTTGGCATTCGGTAATAGAATTCTTTTGTTCCACATTTCAGATAGATTATTTATTAAATATTTACCTATTTGAGCAGCATTTGTACGTCGAGCAAGATTTCTTTGTCTTACAGCTTCTTTAATACGATCAACTTCACATTGATATCGTTTTCGATCTTTCATTGCACTTTCTTTAGCTTCTTTTAATGCTTGTTCTAATGATTTAACACGATCCATTGTTGCTTTAAGACGTTTTTCTAATTTTGGTAATTCACATCGAAGATCTGCATTTTCACGTACGAGCTATTGAAAAAAATAATTATATATATATATATATATATTTTGAATATGAAAGAATTACTTGTTTGTGAACTTTTGTTAATTGATCGAGATTATTTTCTAAAAATGAGATTTTTTGTTTTTGAGCTACAGTACCACCAAGATCATCTTCTTCTGCGTCAGGTTGTTTTTGTGACTAAAAAGAAGGCAAATATTTTCTGTGATTACATTGAAATATAAGAATAGAAATGAAACCTTTTTAAGACGAGCTTGTAAATCTTGAACAAATAATTTTCGTAAATTATGTAATGTTTGTAATTCTTTAGCAACAGTTTCTTCAAGACCTTTCAAATCTTGTTTAGCTTGTTCGCGACGTTCTTGTTGTAAACTATAATGAAAAGAATATTCTTCATTAGTTGTAATGAGAAAAAAAAATTAATATTGTACGTCATTTCTTGTAATCGGCTTGATTTATCTGTTTCTTCTTTTTTCAATTTTTCATAATCGCCTGATAATTTATCATAAGATAATTCTAATTTTTGTAATGAACTAAATTAGGAAGAAAATAAAATAAAATAGAGGGTTTTTATCGAAGAAATTTTTACTCTTTCAATGTTTCCATTTGTGTTTCTTTTGTACGAATTTCATCACGTAGAGTTGCTAATTGTTTCTGATGTTGCTCACTTATTTGTTGCATTTGCTGATTTAATTCTTTCTGAACATCAGATGATGAATTAGCTACTTGACCTAAAAAAGAAATTTAAAGATTTATTGAATGAGCCAGATTAAATAAGTATTTTTTTGAAAGAATCGCCATTCGATTCTCTACAAAATTGAGATGATCATTCGAAAGAACATCTCAAGATACACTATTTTCAGTTCATGAAAGCTTTCGTAATTCAATCAAATATTATTTATTTTTAGTTTAGATTTTGTAGTCTCAGCTACCGGATGATCTTGTTCTTGACATCGTATACTGAATTGGTTCAAATCAGAACGGAAACTATTACAATTGCCGATAGTTTGAGGAAAACTTGATTTTTACCACCAATTTTACTCAAAGAGAGTTTTCTCTAATGCATCAAAAAGAGCATACTTCAGACTACTAGAAAATTATTAAACTGTAAATTATGGTTATAAAAATGCCTGAGTTATTTCAGTCGATTGACCTTTGAAAGCGGTAGTGAAACTATCTATTCAGTTAATTAAACTTTAGTTTTGATCGGATCATTACCTTGAGCACGAAGTTTCACTAATTCTTCATTTAATGAATCTTGTGTTTGTTCAAGTGTACGTTTTTTCTCTTCTAATTCTTTTATCGATTCAAGCATTGAACGCATTTTAGCTTCATGTTGTTGAATTAAAAGACGAGCTTCATCAAGTTCTTTATCTTTTAATCCAATTCCTTTTTGATGATCAACTTTGTCTAATTCAAGTTCACTTAAACGCTAGAAAGAAAGAAAAATTAATATCTCTCGTTCAATTATCTAATAAAAATAATACATACTCCACTAAGAGTTCGTGCTTCAGTTTTTAATTTACTCATATAAAGACGTGCCAATGTAAATTCTTCTTCAGCTTGATCAAGATTTTCAATAGTTGGTTTCTAAAAACGAATAAATCAATATAGATAAAAAATAAATAATTTTATATTTAAAACAAACTTTTTGTTCATTCATTTGTCCACCCATAATACCACCAATATCTCCAACATCACGTAAAAGTACAAGAATCATATCAAGAAAACGTTTACGATGTGTTTGTGATGCTTCACGAAGGCCTTCTAATTCTTCTCGAATACCATTCAATGAAGCCTAATAATTTATAAAACAGAAAAAGAATTTTCGTACAAAAATTTAAAAATTAAACAAACCAATTTAGCATCAAGTTCTTGTGTTAATGTTTCATTTTCTTTACTTTTTGTTTCAACTTCTTGCGTTTTTTGATCATAATTAACAGCAAGTTCTTCAAGAGCTTGTAAAACTTCTTTAACTTCTTCCTTAGCTGATTCACTTTCTTGTTGAAGACGATTTAATTCAGCTTGAAGATTTTCATTATCTTTTCGTGCTTGACTAAATATATCATCTTGTTCAGTTGTTTGAGATTTAAGTCGTTCAATTGTTTGAGCTAAATTATTTATTTCATCATCCTTAAATAAAATAATTCATTTATTATTTATGTATTCAAACTATTAACAATAAAATAGTAAATAAAAAAAAGATATTCAATAGAAATTTACACCAAATGATTTCCCTATTGACTAATATTAATGCTATTTGTACCAAGTCTTTTCCGATAAATAGAAGATTTATATGAACCTTCATTATATTTAATTACGAGTGAATAATCGGAAAAATATATGAATTGTCTTGTTGAGCATATAAATGTTCTCCCATCGGTTTAAGTAACATATGATCACATAATTTATCTTCTATTTCGATCTGATATTTTCTTTAAGGAATATTATTTGCCGTTAGAATATTAGTATATACAATTCATTAGAAACGCAAAGATTGTCGAGAAAAAAATCGCAGAACAACTTATCGTTCTGTTCTGATAGGCAGAACATAACAATAAAACAAACATATATTCTGTTTTTTGTTTATTTTTCATACTGGTAAAGGCTAAGACATCTTAGAAAGTTAAATCTTAGCAATCTTGGAAAACATATTTAACAAAAAATGTAATCGATCTATATTATAATCTAGACATCAACATCTCATAAATATTCAAATACACATATATGATTGATGGATCTCAACATTATTAAATCAATACAAACAAATATATTCTCATTTGTAATCAATCTGGTTATTAGAAAACAAAAAATAAGAATAAATACCTTTTCATCAAGTTGTTGATAGAGGGCAGTTCGTTCTTTTTCTAATTCATCAGCATTAGCAGGACGACTATCAAGACCACCTAAAGGATTGCTAACAGCTATTGTAGCAGCAACAGATGATACTGGACTAACTGCTGATGTGGCAACAGTTGAAAGTGACATCATTGATTGAGTTGTTGAAAGTGTTTCATCGATATCAAGTAAACTAATTTGTTCATCTTTTGTTACTGTCTCACCTAAAAGAAAAAAAATGTTTTCTTAAATAAAAATAAATAAATAATATTTTACCGCGTCGCCATCGTTCAAGTTCCATTTCAGCACGACTTAATTGACCTTTTAATCTTGCTACTTTTTCACGTTCTTTCTCCCAACGTCGTTTCCATTCTTCAGCTGTTAATTCTTCATTAACAGTAACTTGATTTTTAATACATTTAGCTCTAAAACAAAAAAATACAATATAAATCAATTTATCTTCATAATTTTTCACCTTTTGCCAAATTCTAATGTTGATTTTGTTTCTGATTCATTAAAACTAGCTGGTGAACAACATATAATTATTGTTGTACGAGCATTTCCTCCAAGAGATTCTTGTAATATACGTGTTAATTTTGAATCACGATATGGTACATGAGATTTCTAAAAAAAAAGAAACGAATTAATTTATGTAGTAAAAACTAAAACTAAAACATACTGTTCCATCGGCTAATGCTGAAATGACATTACCAAGTGCTGATAATGATTTATTTATATTTTTTGCTTCATCAAGTACTTGACCTTCAGCACCAGTTTTTGAAACCTTGAAAAAAACAAGAAAATGAACTCTAAAGATAAAATAGTCAATGAACTTACTTTTTCGCTACCAGCTAAATCAACAAGATAAAGTTTACCAGTTAATTTTTTTTCACTTTCAACATTTTCTTGTTTAACATTAATTAGAAAAACTGAATGCGAACGTGAACTATGTTCATTCATATTTGTTACAGCTATATGTCGATTATTTTTTCCCTCTTCCATTATTTCAAAAACTTCATCAGGTGATGAAACAAATCTTTCGGTAACACCCTTTGAACAGAAAAACAAATAATGATAATACATAGTTAAAGATTTCAATCATACTTTAACATATGGTACACGATTTTTATCTTCATGTACAGCTAAATTTGTTTTCGATACATCAAGAAGATCACGAATTTTGTCAAGATAAATTTCAAAATACGAAACTTTTATTTGAAATTGCAAATTAGCATCCAATGTATAAATATGATTAAAAATATCTTGTACAATTCGTGGAATAATACCTTGTTGACCTTCACTACTCATTACACCCTAATAAATAATTAATATATATACGTATTATTTTTGCTCGAGGAAAAACAAAGTTTTCTTACCTCCATTGTGTGAGTTTTACCACTTGATGTTTGTCCATAAGCAAATATTGTACCATTATAACCACTAAGAACATCTTTGACGATTTCTTTTGCGGCTTCATTATAAACTTTTTCTTGTGTAGCATGAGGAGCAAATACTTTATCAAATACATAAATTTTTCCCTAAAAAAAATTCAAGAATAATAAACTAAAAACAAAACAAACGATAACATACACTAATAAGAACAGTTCCTTCTTGATCAGCTGGGAATTTAACAACATTTCTACTACCAGCACGTTCTTCTGAATCGTTCAATGGACGGAAACGAGCAACGACCCGAATATTACATTCATCAGCTGCCATTGAACTTATTTAAACGAAATAGAATATCTAAAAGACAAAAAAAAAACGACAACTAGAAAAAAAGAAACACAACAGCTGGCGACTCGAATAGAAAATCGAACAATCAGCAGTAACAGCCGTTTATACTTATACTATTGAATATTATTTTTCTATTCAATTGAATGACTCATTTGATCGGCCATTACTCAAGTATCTAAGATTTTCTTCGGAGTGGTTGATTTGAGTACATATAAATACTAACGCCCTCTATTATCTTTTCTTCTATACCCATGTCGATCGATGCACTTTGATACTTATTACATTGGTTTATTTCTGTAAACGAATCATATTGTTTGCATCTGATACCTTTCATTAGCAAGCTGTTCTCTACAAATTATTATTTTTGTTTTGCAATCTGTTTAACACTGAATTTATCACGAAAAAAACAGAATTGTTTCGATATTATTTTTCAATCTTCGATCAGAATAAGGCTAAAAATTCTAGTACATGAATTATCATTTTTATTTTCAGTTAAAATCAAATAATAAAAGAGAGAGAACATAAATAAATCAGTTTGTTATGTATCGTAGTAATCGGAATATAGTTTACTTTTGTCATTGTTTAATTACTGACCTCCATAATGAAGAGTTGCTAAACGTACGCGTACTTATCGACATGGGTAATATCAACGCTTTTTTTTGTGGTAGACAAAAATCATTGAAGTGAAAAGTGCATTTTATACAGTACATTAAACCAAAATATTTTTCTTTGGATAAGAAACTAATGAATGCATAACATTGAGCAGAATTTCTTGAACTGTAGGCAATAATTTGTTTAAATTGGCACGGAGTTTTTCTTCATAAGAATCGTAATCCTTGAATATCATTACAACTACATTCTTTAGAAGATTTCTAAAATAGACAAAAAGAATAATAAGAACATTCTGATGTCTTTTAGGTTTATTTTTGATACAAGATCATATTACATTTGAATAGGAAACATTAGATTTTCTATTTTATCCGATTTCCGAGAATATGTCAAAAGAGAATGTCATATGTATTTTTGTGCTCTGTAAACATCATATATAAATCTAAGATAATTTTCGATATAATATTATTGTTAGGTGCATAATCACTATTATATATTTAATATTTCTTTTGTATAATTCGATCAAATAAAAGTTTAAGTAGTTGGAATACTGCAACTTGAAACGTTGCATTATTTTTATGATCAAATATTTTCTTTTTATATTAATATGCTTGGATTTCAAAAACAATATTTATTCTAGAATGTCTTGCTATTATAAATACATCGATGATGGACAAAAGATAGATTGACGATTTTAAAAAGTTCTTAAAATGCACTATTTTTTCTCACAATAACTTCAACTATATAAATAGCATAATATGTCTCAAATAATTATTTCATAGAAAAAAATGATGTCAAAAGTAGTACAATACAAATGGATGATTTTAATTATTTTCAGAAGAGATTTTTGATATAAAAGCATACTACATCATTCATCAGAACTATCATATTTCATCACGTAATATGAAACATCATTAACAAGTTCTGTTAAATTTTGGATTCTATTGACTTTTCAAGCACCACCGATTGTATGTTCGATTTTTGTTTTATATCATATGCTATCATCACGAACACATCAGCAATCTTTAGCTAATCCTGTTGTTATTACTATGGTTATTGTTAGTTTTCTCAGTGTAACTATCGATCTTTCAAAGACACTTAGTTTTTTATATAAACTAATTTTCATGACATGGGCTTCTATTAAGCGTCATATACTTGTTTTTTCTTCACATCGTCAAAGATTCTATGCACATACTCTTCCTCTTATCTTTTGTTTAATTTATCCAATTTTATTATATACTTACACTATATTTTTCTATCCATGTGAACAAACTTTTAATTATCAGCAAGTTCTTTGTGGTTCACCATGTTTTAAACATACTTCATGTATTCATAATAGATATGATATATGTATGCATAGTGTATTACCATGTATATTAATTCGAGTTATTCGGCATAAACGTCATATACAAGGACAATTATTTTCAGTTGCTTGTTTAGATATTATTGTGAATGCTCCACCCTTTACTATTTTGAAAATTTTTACAGCTATAGAATATGTTTATATATTTTTTAACATTATTCTTACCATTCGTATGCCTTGGATCAGTTGGTGATTTACGCATAAAAATTAATACAGTTTTGCTGCGATCATCACGAGTTGCTATCATTCATGATCAGGGAAATGGAACAACAATATTACAAAAGACTGTTATATGCCACATATAAATATTTCTGGACACATTGTTTAGTCCTATTTATTGTTTTAAATATCGTTCACATTGTTAGATCATAGTACGTTAAGACTATTCACATTATTCTTAATAGATGTATTTTAGTCTTTTCAATACATGAGTACATGAGTCGTTGATATGACATTGTGATTTTTATCGTTAAATTATTGAATCATTGATTTTAGATTTAAGATGACATTATTCTGATTCATACATTTTTTGTAGTTCTATGTCAACTTACTTTTATCAAATAGCTTCTACTCTCTTATTAATATTATTCATTTAGTGCATATTAAAGTCATGATCGAACTTTCTACATGTGATGACGTCGTCGTATAATCGTGTGCAAGGTATACTATATAAACAACACTAACGTAAATATGCTCGATGATATTTGTAAGGAACGTATAGAATATTTGAAGGCTTTTTTTCTGTCAATAATATCATATGTAAGTATACAGTTTCTAATTTATTTCAAGGTTATATTTTGTTTATTTTTCATATAGGGATAAAAAATTGTTTAAATTACTTACTCGTGTATTAACACAAGATCGTGAAAATGAGAAAAAACCTGCTCGTAAAGCTCGACATCGATATGAACGTCCATCAGCACTTCGTATTGAAATGAATACACCACATCATCGAGCACATGGACAAAGTATTTTGATATATATACAATTATTTTTCGTTTAATAAAATTTGTTTTTTTCTTCTTATTATTAGTTAAAGAATCTGTTGATTCACCACAAGCAATGTATACAAAAGTTCTTTCTGATTTATTACAATCACATAATTATTATCGTGCACGTCATTCAGCACAACCATTAACAGTTAGTCAACGATTAAATCTTATCGCTCAAAAATATGCTGAATATTTAGCTGCAACATCAAAATTTGAACATAGTCGAAATAAACTTGGAGATGATTCATTAGGTGAAAATCTTTATATGCAATGGATTTCTCAAGGTAAAGTACCAGTTAGTGGAAGAGAAGCAGCAAAAAATTGGTACGATGAAATTGCATTATATAATTTTAAACATCCAAGATATTCGGAAGATACAGGACATTTTACACAAATGATATGGCAATCAACACAAAGAATGGGTGTAGGTGTTGCTTTATCTAGAGATGGACGAGAAGTTTATATTGTTACCAATTATTATCCAGTGGGGAATATTATTAATCATGGATATTTTGAAAAAAATGTTCTACCTACTAAATATTAATTGTCGAATAAAATAAAAAAAATCTTCTAGTATTAGTATTGATACTTGTCAGTAAATAGATGCTGAATATAATTAGTTAAAAAATAATTTTCATTATAAAAAGATATATTTGAATGAAGACTTGAGGCAAGTGTTAATGGTATATTACTATGATCAATGATTCGTAATTTTTGTTTTGATTTTTTCTGAAGTGATGACTCACGATGATGCGTATCAATCGAATCTAGTTGGTATTTATTTGAAAATATTATTTCTTCTTTTCGATTATCTAAAATAACATGTAAAATAATCTATAGTTAGTTTATCTATTTAAGATTATTTTAATACCTAATGGCATAGTTGAAAAATATGGCGTTTGATTATATTTACAACATATTTCACGATTTGTAAATATCAATGGTTCATCTAAACGTCTATAAATGGTATTAGATAATTGTTTATGTAGATTAATATTTTTTTCTGATTGATTTAAATTTATATTAATTGTAGGTAAATCATTTGTTAATAATTCCGTTTGACAATAAGATGAACGAACAGGTACTAAAACAATATGTTTATCCATAATTGAACTAGTTTTTTCTTGAGATAATATTCGATTCATATTTTGATTAAATAATGAATAATGAGATGGTATATAACGTTTTGATAAGTTGGAATACTTTCTCTTCTTAGACACTAATGAATAACTATTACTTGATGAGTTGTTGATAGATGACATATCCCAACTATCAATACCCTTATTAACACTTTGAGTATATTGTACTTCTTGTTTTATGTATACAAGAATTTGCCAAAATGTTTTAAAGAAAAGTTCATAAATTATTTGAATACACCATAGAGAACATTCATAAAGAGTTATAAAAGTATATGTTAAACAATCATCCGTATTTTCAAAACTAAGGATATATAGAATATCATTCATTTTTCTTTTGAATTAATAAACACCTACAAGTCTGATTTTATGTTATTTTCATCATTTGAACAAGTACATGTTGAACATGAACATGTTTGTTGTTTTATATTCATTTGTAAATTAGAAAGATTTGTAACATCAGTTAATGAACCATCGAGATTTTTCATAATCGTTATATAAAACTTAATAGTTGCGCTTTTAGTTTATAAAGATGGCGCCGGAATCTGATTTCGAGTTATATATCTTTTGTTTTTATCTTACATTTATTCAGTTCAAAGAAAAACACACTACAATAATGTCGAAAAAAAGGTCCCGAAAACATCGTGCGATCAAACGATTAAAACAACATAATCATAATTATCATCAATCATTCCAAAATCTTCCACGTGATATAACTAATAACAATCTTTTTATTAAACCGAAATATAATAAATATTTTGATTATCCTTTATCTGAATTACTTGTTGATCATTCAACTGATCCAATGCAAAATACTGCTCGACAATATGTATCTTCTCATTTATCTAATGAAGGTCGTTTTATGAATCATGAAATGATTATTCGAAGAAATGGTGAATCAACAATTCATCGACCTAAATATGATATTGTCCTTGACAATGGATGTACAAGAATTATTCAACCTTCGTATTTATTATCATCGTATCAATCTTTACCATTCCATTCTCAAATAGCATCATCATCAGTTATTAATAAAATGTCAGTAGAGAAATTAAAAGTGAAAAGACTCAATAAAAGAAAACACAAAGTAATGAAAATTCTTTGTTTTATAATCAATCATTATTTTTAAATTTAGTGTCATAAAAATGAAATATTAAAAATAACTGTGGAAGATGGATTACGTGATATTGTTGTTATTAAAAAAGTAAATTTATCTATCGTTGTACTATTATTTAAATCTTTTGCTTTATGTAGGAAAATAATCTTCATCAAAAACGAATTCCTTTTCAAGATTTATCTTCCAAACGTTCTGATAGAAATATAATGAATAATATTGAATATTCTTATAATTTACCTACAATAGAAGATTCTGTGATCTCAAAGAAAAAATTCAAATTCGTCTGATATTTTAGAACTGTAAATATTGTTATTCTATTTATATCTTATGTGTTGTTGTTATTCTTATTTATTGTTATATTATTAATAAAAATCATATAGTTTGCACAATTACTATTATTTTTACGGCTGTTGTTGTTTTTAATGTATAGTGGTCTTATTCATATAAATAGAACAGAATGGATAAGACAGATTTTTCTTTCTGGATGATTACTGTTACTTGTTTCTGTCTTATTTCTATTTGCTATGTGAGAGAATGTTAGTATACATACGCGCTTATTTCCATTGATGATATGCAAGCATATGTATGGCGATAATTATCAAACCAACAGTATATCAGAAGAAAGAAAAAGGTCGAGTTTTATCGTTCTTGATCGATAAAATTGTTTAGAATAGTTCAATGTATATATATATATACGATAAATGGGGTACCGCAACTGTTGAACATGAAAAGAGCGACACATTTATCATAATTATATTTATAAGGTTGTTACTGTCGTTTTCATTTCTTTCGATATAACAAACAATTAAATAAAATTTCGTATAGAATAGTGAATAAAACAGAAAAAGAACAAACAGGTTTAAATAGACAGAAGAAAAAAGATTTTCTGAGGAAATGTGATCTTATATTAAAACGAGTGAAAGAAGAAAAAAAAAAAAGATTTTTTTATTGTTGTCTATACATGAGAAATAATGGACATTTCGATGCTAAACATAAATCTGATTTAGTCATGTTGACCAGCACCAGGTGGTGGAGCATAATTTGGTTTATTACTATTAAAGTTAAAAAGAAAAAAACAAGAGAAATGGAATGGATTAATATAAATATAAAATATTTACGTCATCTCAGAACCGCTTTTGTTTCCTAAATGTTCACCAGTATCCATACCTAATGTGCCAGCTCCTTGACCAAAACCATAACCTTTTGGTCTAAAAGAAGATTTTGTTTTCATTTAAAATTATTCTGTTAGATAAATACTAACCCAAATTTACGAGCATAACATTGTTTACAAAAAATATTACCTTCATGCTCAGCCATAGTCATAGCTTCTAACATTTTTTTACAAAGACCACATTTAAAGCACATTTTATGCCATTTTTTTCCAGCTGCTGGAACTTCTTCTGCAGCATATACATTTTGATTACATTTTGGACCTAATATTTAATGTCAAGAAAATAGTTGAATTATATTCTATACATTCAACTTACATTTTACAACCTCAGGTGGTTTGAATGGCATGATTTAGAATGAATTAGAAATAAAAAAAGAAAAAATCTGAAATAAATTTATGCTGTATACAATATATGATTAGAATTTTAGTCACACTCATCTTAAATAATGTCATTTGAAAAATTAAAATATAGAGAAAAAGAAAACTTGAATAAAATAAACAAAAGTAAAATTAAAAGAAAAGATAAGAATATATATGTATGTCTATTATGTTATCTATAATAAACATTAATTTGATTTAGTCATGTTGACCAGCACCAGGTGGTGCAGCATAATTCGGTTTATTTCTATTTGAAATTAATAAATTAAAAAGAAAAGAAAAGAAAAGAAATATATTCTTACGTCATTTCTGAACCGGATTTATTACCAAGATGTTCACCTGTATCCATACCAAGACAACCTGCTCCACCACCGAAACCAACACCTTTAGGACCCTATATAAATATGGTGATTTTATTTACAATACAAAATAAATTTAATCAATAAATATTTACAAATTTACGAGCATAACATTGTTTACAAAATAAATTGCCTTCATGTTCAGCAAGTGTCGTTGATTCGAGCATCTTCTTACAAAGACCTAATAATATATTAAGTAAGATAGGTGATAATTAATTGTCAATAAGACACAAGGTAAGAAGAGGAGAAATGAAGGAATAGCCATAGATCGACATCTTACCACATTTGAAACATGTTTTATGCCATTTTTTACCTGCCGCTGGAACTTCTTCAGCATGATAAACAGGCTGATTACATTTTGGGCAACGAACGATTGCTATTGAAAATGGCATCTGAAAAGGATAAGACGATGTGCAGGAACATGCAAATAACATATTTTATCAGGATTAATAAAAGAAAACTACAGATGCGCTTGTTTATCTACCGCATTTAAAACACATTTTGTGAAATTTTTTTCCAGCTGCAGGAACTTCTTCTGCAGCAAAAACACTTTGATTACATTTAGGACATTTAGCTGCTTCAGGTACTTTAAATGGCATTTTACTAATAAAATAAAAAAAATAGATAAATAAGATTATTATTAATTTTCTCTAATTATATTTACTTACATATAATAAGAATATAAAATCAACTAATTATTGGGTAAAACTTCTTTTTCTCTAAAAGAATATAAAGAAAAAACATATATAGTTTTTTTTTCTTGATTTTGTTTTCTCTTTTTTCTGTCTATTCCATATAGGCCGCAGAAAATGATTGTTTCCAGCATCATCATCGAGCAAGATATTGTGTAAATATCTGCTTCGCAGTGAATATATCGATATATATGTGAAACAGACGGATGGGAAAAGAAATAGAATAGACAGAACGATATCATCACTACCAATATACAGTTTTCTCATAAGGCGAGAAAAGAAATACTACATAGAGAGAAAGCATCTGAGACGAATTGGTATATATATATATATAAATATATATGGACAGAAAGAAAAAAACATGCGGTGGCGGAATGAAACCCTAACCCAAATGTTCCTCCCAAATGTGGCATACTAAGTTAATCTCACTACAGATATAACCTCTCTCTCTCTCTTTTTCGCGCTCTGTTCTTTTCTAGTTACGACTAAGACGTGCTTCTTAATATTGTATACTTCCTTCCTCATTTATTCTTTTTCTTCGCTCTCTCTCTCCCTCTTTCAGACCAGTCGTTTCTCACCAATGACATTCCTGTTATCAATCACGTCTAACAACAGAACAGAATCATATAGACCAAACGTTGATAGTAATACTAGCTCTTTTTCTTTTTTCTTCTAACTATTTTGTATTAATAAAACAAAATGAAGGATATGTAGATAAGTTTAAATGACAATTGTTCTATATTTTATCAAGGTTTCATATCATTTCTTGAATCGTATAGATATTAGTGGACGCAAAAGTCTTTAGAAAAAATAATAACACACACATATATATATATATCTAAGCAAATGTTGTTGAGTATCATTAGCAATACGTTGACAAAGACAAACAAATATTAGATCGGTTTTTGTTCCGATCAATCACAATAAACATTTGTAGTTATTTTTTGTCTTGATATTCGATGTTGAATAAACAGTAATAATTTATTTTTATCTGTATTAACAAAGAGATTTTATTTACTGAATATTTCATCACGTAATTTCAGAGAAATATAGAATATATATGACAGATTTGATATGTCTCTACATGAAAATAGACTTATCTATCATCGATGAATGAAAGCAATTGTTCTATCTTGTTAATAATCATGTATATAAACAATATCATACAAAGAAAACTTCAACATATTATTGACCAGACTATGAATTTTTGTTTTAAATATTCTTTCATTCCACTAAATTATAAACATAAACTTACGAAAATACTTATCGGCATCATTTTGTATATATAAGATATGATGTAGATATTCTATCTATCGCCATTTTGCAGATTGTCACGTATGCAAAAGTTATTTATGTTTATTTAAACAAGCTGCTATCGGTATTTCTAAAGAGTCGAAATTACCAGTTCTATAGTTTTCTCTTAAATAAAGTTATATGTATTCATCAAAAAGAATAATGTCATGGACATGAATAAATGTCGATATTAACTATGGATAAATCATCAATAATACGTAACAATCGTACGAAGAATCTAACACATAAAGAAGTATACAAAAGGAAACTGGATTAAATTTCAATTATTTCATATATTTCTGAGTCAT